CTGCCTTTCAAATAGATAAATCTTTCAAAAAAATGGATTGGTTCATCAGGGCTTATTTTCTTTCCCCCACTCTCCCTCACCAAATTCTTTCAATTTTATTTTCTAAATCTCTCTTATTCTTCATCTTCCACTGTCACTGCCATTTTTCATACTTTCATCGTCTCTCTCATGGACTAGTGAAATGGCCTTTGACCGGCCTATCCGCTTTCCATGTCATCCTTTCTCAATTGTTCCTCTTCTTTGACTCTGGGTCATCATCCTGAAACACAGCTCTTTTCTTCCCTAACACCCTTCACTAGTACCACATTCACAGTAGAAGATAGGCCAAACCGTAGAGTGTGGTATTAAGGCCTTCGATTAACTGGCTCCTCATTGCCATTCTCTATCTGCTCTCTTGCCCACTATAAACTGGACAATACTGAGAGATGCTTAGCTTCATGCATGTGCTAAGCATTTTCATACTTCCATACCATCAAATGTCCTTTTACCTGGTATGATTTTTCTTTTCTTTCTTTCTTTCTTTTTTTTTTTTTTTTTTTGGTGTGTTGGGGGAACTCCTTTGAAACCATCTTTATTCTTAAACTTACTCTGCCCTGCCCTTCTTAGGTATAACCAGCCCTGGATAACCTTTTCCAACTTCCTACCCTCAGGAGTTAATTCCTCTCTGCTGGGGCACCTTGTACATGGATTGTTGTTTGTGGGTCCTTTCTTTATTTGCATGTCTTCTCTCCCGGAATGCTGATGCTGAGGACATGAGCAGAACAGTCATTCTAGGTTCCAGATTGCACACTCAGTGCCTATGTGACACCTAGGAGACTTTTAAAAGCATAAGGAAAGGAACAAACAATGAATGGTCAGACCTCATGAAGACGATGTTGCTTTACCTAAAGGAATGGTGGGAATTTCTGGTGCGACAGCAGTTTAGTCAGGGCTCCATTTTTTTGTCAGTAGGATGAACCAGTTTAAGGCAGGCGCTGGTCTGCCACATCCATGGGACCTGAGGGGAGGGAGTGCGTGTGCATCACGTGCTGTCTGGGGTTTGGCAGAGTGGAGACATCAGTGCTGATGGTACCCAGATCCCAGCACTTAACAGCAGACCCCATAGGTTATTAGAGCTGAGAGCCTATCTTGGAAGATTAGCTGCAGGAAGTGCTTTAACTATGGAGCAAACAGGCAGCCGCTTGATTAGTGCCTCAGACATGGAATGGCACTGTGGTGTTGGGTTTCCATCCGAACCATTACTTGGATATTTGAGATCTGGAGCTTCAGTTCTAGCCTGACCTTGAATTTGATTTCTGAATCCATACGTGAACACTGGGCCTTTACTTTGTTTCTCTCACACTGTTTCCTCCCAGTTGAGTTTTGTGTCTCCAGGTTTTGGATGTTTGAAAGGGATGCTGAGAATTAACCCATATGGTGTTTGTTTACACAAGGAATCCTAAATAGCTTCTTGTTCAGGGAGAACACAGTAGCAAATATATCTTTACTGTAATGTGTTTTAAATCAAAAGGGCTCCGTATTTTCCCCTGTGTTTGAATGTGACATTCTTGATCATTCCAGACCCACCTGTCTGAGAACACAGGAATCAAAAACAGGAGTCATTCTCAAATTTCACCTCTATTTAATCCATCACAGAAACACACTGGCTTTTCACTGTATATATATAAAAAACCACACCAGGACATTTAAACAAAGTGACACAGATCATCAGCAGATCAACTGGGAATGACGGCTCAATCAAACAAATGTATGTTGAGAATTTCCACAGGGCAGCGCTCACAGCAGCAAAGCCAAATTTGTTTAGTATACATGGGTTAGCTGCTTAGGAACATTCGCTATGCCGCATGCCAGATGATGACTTTTCTAGGTAAACATCCATTTAGCAGCATATATCCATCCATGAAAGTGTTGGCATGATTTTGATCTATTCTTTTTGACTCCTGAAATTATGACTTCATTCCACTGGCAGCCAAGTACCAAACCCACACATGCACCATTTAGGCTAAAAAAAAAATAGTGGTGGGGGGAAGCTATACACTTATTTCAAAATGTAATATAACCATCCAAAAGGTAGGAGAAAGTCCATAAAATCGACAGGCCATTTCACTTTTCTGACAAGCAATAAAGTAAGCATCATTAAAATGGATGTCAAATTACAGGGCAGGGAAGCAGCAGGAAAAATACCTACCTTGTTCTTGGTATTTGAAGTAGAATCTGGAGTATTTATCCTACCTCAGTTTAAACTTGGAGGCATTCCTTTTTTGGGTAGGGGGTTGAGGGTTCTTTTATTAAGTCGGAATTTCAGAATCACATTCCAAGTAAGTAAGAACATTTGGATTTTTCAGAAAACAGCATTTAGTTACTTATTAATCCTTCTACTTAAACAATTTACTTTCTTTTTATAGATGTCACTTAAAGAATGGAAGACTTTATGGAGTACAATCTAAGTCAAGGGGAAAAACTGTAAAATGTTTATAAAAAACACAAAACCAAAAGGATTTTCATTCCACTCATTCTTACTGTTGTAAAATCTAGATTACATTGCACACGGTTCAGCTCAATACTCTGATTTGTTAACTAAAAGTTTCCCTTTCTGATTCTTCAACTGGGAAATGCTCAGTGTTGGGAGGACATCTTCACACAGAGAGCTTGAGAATTCCTTTTTGTTGGACTAAGGGATAATTATCTCCAATTTGTTGGAAGGGATTATTGTTTTCAAAACTTTAATTTTTTCTAAAGGAGTACTTGGCACATGTTATTTGCTTGGGCAAGTATTCTGAGCAGTCAGTAGTCTACAAATCTCAAAATACCTCTTCTGGCAGTGGCAGTGAACTGTGAGGGATAACACCTGTCTTTGAAAACTGTTTAAGAGTCAGAGCTGGATGAGACACAAAGTATAGCATTAAAAAAGAAAACCATTGGCAGGCATTTTGCACAGCAGTTTAGATGCTTTGTAGTACACCTGTGTCTCATATTAGAGTGCCTAGGTTCGAGTTTTTGGCCCTATTTCCAATTGATCGCAGCTTCCTGCTAATGCACACCCTGGGAGCCAGGAAGTGATGATTCATGTACCTGGGTTCCTGCCATTCACATGGCAGATCCACATTAATTTCTGGGCTCCTGGCTTTGGCCTGGCCCAGCCCCAGCTGTTGCTGGCATCTGGCAAGTCAACAAGTGGCTAGAAGATCTGTCTGTCTCTCTCTTTTGTTTATTTGTTTGTTTATTTAAAATTCACAGTTACAGAGAGAGGGAGACACACACACACAGAACAAGAGAAAGAGAGAGAGAGAGGAAGAAAGAAAGAAAGAAAGAAAGAAAGAAAGAAAGAAAGAAAGAAAGAAAGAAAGAAAGAAAGAAAGAAAGAAAGAAAGAAAGAAAGAAAGAAAGAAAGAGTTTCCATCTTCTGCTTCACTCCCCAAGTGGCTGCAACACCTGGGGCTGGGCAAGGCCAAAGCCAGGAGCCAGGACGTTCATCTGGGTCTCCCACGTGTGGCAGGGGGCCAAGCATTTGGGCCATCTTCCACTGCTTTTCCCAGGCCACTTGCAGGGAGCTGAATGAGAAGTTGAGCCACCAGGACAGTAACTGGTGTCCACATGGGATTCTGTCATCTCAGACAGTGGCTTTACCCACTCTACAAGAACTCCAGCCACATACTCCCTTTTTCTACCTCTCTCTGTGTCTGTCTCTCTGCCTTTAAAATAAAATAAAAATTATAAAAGGGAATGCTTCGTAATTAGCAGTGTTGAAAGGTGGCTCCATTTGAATGCAATCCACAGCATTTCCCAGCACTGGAGGGAAGATATAACAGTCAATGAGACACAGCCCTTGCCTTCAAGTAGCTGAAAATCCAACTGAAGACACAGACATGAAGCAACTAACTGTAGTAGCACCAGGGTGGATGACAAAAAGTTAGCTCTAAGGTACATTTTACGTGGTCCGGGATCCATAAAGGAAGGAGTTCCCTCTGCCTGGAGAGGTAGTGAACATGCAGTGAGAACCCTTAACAGGCAATATGGCATCTGAACCGGGTCTGAACAGCTCCAAAGAGTAAATCTTAAATACTGCCTCCTCTGCTAGGATTTTCCTTTCTACAGCAGTCAGACCTACCCCCTTCACCTTTGTTTTCATCTGAGAACTTAAAATCTCATAAAAATCTTGTATTCTCTCTCCATGTGTTAGTTTACTTTCTCCTTTGACCCACTAGGCAGGAAGCCTCATGAAAGCAGTGGACAGAAGTTTTGTTGGCCTTGCTCACTGCCCCATCCTGAGCTCAGACCAGTGTGGGGCACTCACTAGGAAGCAGTGGAGTGGAGAGTGAGAGAAGGGTTTTCTAGGTGGGAAAGCTGGTAGTGAAAAAAAGCTGGTAGTGAAAAAATAAAGCCAAATTACATGATATTTATGGATAGTGTGGCTTATATACTAGGATACATTGAAGGCCAACAATAAGAAAATTGATTGTGACCAATCACGAAAGAACTTTGTGAGGTTCCCCAGAAACTGTGGCCACTTTTTGAGAAGTTTGAAGAACTCTAACACTCTGACATCTTTCTAAAATTAGTGTCAGTCTAGAAAACCCAGGATAAACCTTACTTGGGAAAAGGGTGCATTAGCAAAATATATATATATATATATATATACATCCATGAACACAGCAGCATGATATGTATTTTAATCTCTTTTTCCACTTTTTCCAGGCTTTTCAAATGGAATACGGAAGGTTTTCCTTTTTTTATTATTTATTTACCCCAAGTGTGAATAAATCCATGGCAATCTTTAAATCCATAGAGAAAGCATTAATGTTAAGGCATATAGAGTTCAAGTGACTAGAATTAGGAACAGACTAAGGGGCGAATAAGATTTTGTTGTAAATGAAAGATGTTTTTAAAAATACAAATGAAAAACAAGGCCAATAGTATGCCATGTTCTCACATGTATTTAACTATTCCCACAATATAAATTTCACACAGTCTCAAGAATACTATTTATCAAAGCAGCTTACAGGTACTGGGATGAACCAGAAGCTTTCAAAGTGTTGATTGATCACTCTTTGCTAGCAGTTCACTAGAATTGCACAGCCACTCCAAAATCAACAGCCTGGAAGAAAATGATATGAGGCTTGGAACAAAGGCTGGAATGTTAGGTTAGCAGCTGCCTACACTGCAGTAAATACTTGTACATTAATTAATATTCATAAAATGCTTAGAAGCATGAGTTAGTAAGAGTACAGACTGAGCTGTATATGACAATTCAATTTTTTTACTCCCAAAGGAAGCCTGGCTACTCCTCACTTTTGCATAATAGAGCTTTGAGAGAATAATGGGTAGGGTTTGCCTGTCTCTGTACCTATTGAATTTTTTAAAGCTCCTGGGAATATTATCAGAGTACTGTACTGTATATACAGCCTGGGAGTATCTGTCCTCGTGTTCATCCATCAGCCCAGATCTGGCAGGCATTTTTGGAGGTTCACCAACTACCATAGCAATGAAAGAGCTGCAAGGAAGCTCCATGCTTTTTTATCTGCCAGGTATTTCAAGACTCACAATCTTTTTAAAGTAATGGAGTGGGATATTTGTGGAAGGAACTGAAGTACCCTACTGTAGAGATGGAGAAAGACATAAATGAATCCTATAACTTGTTTCCTCACTGAACTTGGGGCTAAAATCATGGAATAGGTTTTCGTTTCTTAGCTTTACATTGTATCACATTGCTCATGTTCATTGGTCGATTATGGCTCTTTCAGATAAAAACTTCTTGCGTCATCATGGAAGCTCTGGCAGTGGAGTGTGCTGGCATTAGCTCATCTTTTTGTATGATGTCAATGACCAGAGTAATCTTTACATTTGGCTTTAACAACCATTTGTTGAGAGTAGAGGAGTGGTGGAGAACATCTTGTTCATGAACTATCTCATCACAGTTTGTTATAGGAATAAAGGTAGACTTGAAAGACACCAACTTTTAAGATTTGTCACTTGAGATGTAGAAACATGACATTCATCATTAACAACAATAAGAATGGCTTGTGGCATTTGCATTTTCCTCTAAAGTTCATAAAATATACTCAAATGTATTATTCATTCTGATTCTACTACAACTTGATGTCATACATCTTAGAAAAATTAATATCTTATAGAAATATATATGTTAGCTTTATCAATATTTTAATTTAACCCAATATATCTAAAATTATTTCAGTATGTAATAAACATACAAATATTATCAACTAGATTTTTTTTAAGTTTTAGAAGTCTAGTGTTTATTTAATTAAGAGCCAAAGAGATAGAAAGAGCTCCCATTGCTGGTTTACTCCACGAATGCCTACAATAGCTGGGGCTGGGCCAGGCCAAGGCTGGGAGCTGGGAACTCAAGCCAGATCTCCCACATGGATGGCAGGAACCCAGTTAGTTTGAGTCATCACTTGCTACCTCCCAGGGTTTATATTAGAAGAAAGTTGAAGTCAGAAGCCAGAGCCAGGTATCAAACCCAAACCCAGGAACTCTGATATGGGACTCATATATCTTAACCTGTCCTTGTTGTATATTTTTAAGCATACAACACATCTCACTTTGGAGTAGCCACATTTCAAATGCTCAGTTTTACATGTGTTTAGTAGCTACCATATTGGGCAGCATTTGGATATAGATGAAGAAATGGGGTTCAAAGAGATGAAGGAACTTTCCTGAGTCACATAGCTAATTAGGTGGACTTAAATCCAGTGTGGTCTTCCAATTTAAACAGAGATTGTCTTAGCTACATAGTTTATAGATTACCTGAATTTATTGTGACGTTGTGAACTGAGACTATCAAATAGGAAGGCAAAGATGTTATTAAATAATGATTCTACCATATAAGTGAGGTGTCTTTATTGCTGGTTCTAGAAATGCCATAGAATTTGTATTTTTTTTTTTTTGACAGGCAGAGTGGACAGTGAGAGCAGTGAGAGAGAGAGACAGAGAGAAAGGTCTTCCTTTTGCCGTTGGTTCACCCTCCAATGGTTGTCGCTGCCAGTGTACTGCGGCCGGCGCACAGCGCTGATCCGAAGCCAGGAGCCAGGTGCTTCTCCTGGTCTCCCATGCAGGTGCAGGACCCAAGGACTTGGGCCATCCTCCACTGAATTCCCTGGCCACAGCAGAGAGCTGGCCTGGAAGAGGTGCAACCGGGACAGAATCTGGTGCCCTGACCGGGACTAGAATCCGGTGTGCTCGCGCTGCAGGCAGAGGGTTAGCCTAGTGAGCCGCGGTGCCGGCTTAGAATTTGTATTTTTACAAACAAGTTCCATATGAAATTCCCATGTGGCACCTAGTTTGGTGATTGCTGCTCTAACCTGTGAACTCCTTATGTTTCAATTCTGCATCCCTCCTATAATCATTCATTCATTTAACAAGTATTTATTGGACAATTACTCTGTGCCAGACACTATGCTTGGCACAGCAGATGCAGCAGGGAACAAGGCAGAGTCCATATGCACATGAAACTTACATTCTACAACCTACAAGGTATGGCTGGTTCATAGCAGGTGCTGCAATAAATGTCTGTCATCAATAGAAGATATTGTTTTACTCCTGGAGTAACTGGAGGACTCTGTTAAAATCTGGAGGAAAGTACATAGATATGAGGTATCTATATAGGAGCTTCATTTATTCTTGGTCTTTATAACAAATGACTATGGAGAAGTTTCAACGTGAGGAGGATATTGTACAAACCCTAAGCTGGTCATATTTGGTTATGGTCATTTACTAGCATCTTGGGCATATGGAAAATATGTCTCTGTGTGTATACGTGTGTGCATGTATAAGCATAGATTCAGTTTGAGCATTACCTTCCTTCAATTGTAGTTTTACTCAAACAGACAAAGGACATAATTTGTGTGGTGTTATTTGGGCATCTATGTTTGAATTCTCCAACTTAGAGAAGAAAAAGGAAAGCAGTGTCCGCTACTTCCAGGACAGTTGGATTCCTTTGGCTGATGTTTTTAAATCAATAGAATCACCTTGAGTCGTTGTGTATGGCTAGAAATTCTGCTGTATCCTGGGGATTCGGCAGTGAATCAGGCACCTGTGCTCCTTGCCTTCGTCACTGACATCACTGTGAGGGCTGTGGGGTTCTGGTGCAGGTAGGCTGTAATAATCTTTCATATGCAGGTTCACATGAATTTCAAGTATGCTGGTTGCTTGTTCTTTTTATGATTCACCAAATCGTTGCAGAAGTTTCGCTGTTGTTATTTTGTTGTTTGGTGTGTTTATTTTGATATGATTAATATAATGCTGTCTCTTGGAAGGACTTATAAGTCTCTTCTTTACTACCTAGAAGAAAGTCTGCTCAACTGGTTTTTCTTGAGCCAAGTATTTTCATTTGACTCTTTAGGCTAGCTAATCTTTGAAGAAAAATGCAGATATGTCCTTGTGTTGGAAATGGCGTAGAGATCCAGAAGGGTTAATTTAAAAATTCATAAATCCTTTGTACCATGTAAATTAATGCCTGCAACCTTTTTTTTCCAGGTGACTTATTGTGACTCAGCTATGTCCAAATAAATGCGTTTATTTAGGAGAGTTCAATACTACCAAAACTTGACATATTAAGAGTCTCTATGGCTCATAATATTTACCAGGGATATGGACCACCCCCTGTTTTCTCATTATGCCAAATAATGGAAAGTGGAAATCACCCTAATCCTTTCTTCTGTGTCTGCCGTACCTCTGCAAATATGATAAACTCAATCCAATTAAAAGTCATTACCTTTCCAAGGCTTGGCCACAGTCTATAACTCTTTGTTTTACAATCCTCTCAATTATCTGTCTTTATCACAAGTAGAATTTTTAGCAATCTTCTGCTTTGGTTTTCTAGTAATGAAAGGAATATCACTGTTGGTGTTGAGCACCACAGTCCTTGTGTTCCATTCACTTGTCTCTATTTAATGAAGCATTACAGTATGTAAGTTAATTCTTCACAAGTATTTATCTTACCTCCTCAATTAGATTCTAAGTCCTTCAAAATCAGCAGTTTCACTTTATTCTTGTTTGTGACTTCTGATGGTACTTTGCATGTAGTAACCTTGTTGACTAAGCGATAAAAATTTGAAGGCATTGTTGAATCATGGTTGCTAAGGTTTAATAGTGATGATGAGTATTAAGAAGTTGCATGAAGCAGATATATTAATACAGCTACAGAAACAAAAAATGGCACAGGCAGCAACAGCACAAAGTCTGTTAAGCTATATAATTATTCTATACCCTTCAGGTACCTTTCCTGCTTACAGTGGATTTTCTTAATATAATATACTTTTTTGCATTTAAAAAATAGATTTATAATGTTGATAGGTATTTATAGAATACAGTGTGATATTTCAGTACATAATTATGATGTATGGTGATCAAATCAGAGTAATTAGCATTTCCATCACTTTAAACATTTATAATTTGACATTATATACTGTTGACAGAATTATTTTCCAAATTTTTCTCTTGAGTAGTCATAGCTCACATAGATTTACATGGGTTCATCCATAATATATTTGAGTCAGCAAGCATCTTAGATATTTAGATGTGTAAGCTGATAATTTTCTGGCTTCTTTAGCACTTAGATTTTACAATGCTGTGAGCAATTATATTTCAATCAGTTATCATGAAGTCACAGCAATATGATTCCAGAAGGTTTTATTTAACTTAACTAGCATAGCTGTAGCTTATTAAAACAGTTTGTTAAAGAAGATGTATTGGAATAAATCTTTACTTTTTTTCTCTGTTTTTGAGATCTTTTTCTTCCCTCACCAAATAAATATAGATTCTAAAGTTTATTTTGCCACTTTGGCTTTTGGTTAAGTTACTTCGACAAGTGCAGGCATATGTGGATGTTATTTGAAAGAACAAATACATAATCTAGTGGTACTATGGGACAACAGAAAGCAGTGGGGCTGCCATTTCTCTGACAATGCTCGCTCTGGATTGGAGCCATGGGAGGTTCCCATGTGATTGTATCCAGTCTTCCCTCCAAATACATGGCCCTTTTGAGGTCAAACAGAACCATCCTGGTCTGTTTGGAATAATTTCCTTTTCCAATGAGGAGATAAGTGTGTGGTTTGGATCATTTTTGGGCCGGTGGAAGTTCCATTGACATCACAGCAGCCTCACCTGAGTCACAGTAGAATTTATGGGATTTTTTCAGTGAGCTAGTTCAAGCAGAAATGCTTTTGTTATTAGTTACATGGCACACAAGCCACTGACTTCTTCATGTGATTTTCGCTTGGCTTATTTTGTAATAGAAATATGAGCATGTTGTTTTAGAACCTATTGGTTCCATCATTTTGGAGTTATTCAGAAACAGTAGTAAGAGTAAGTGATCCTGGTTTTAATCCTCACAATTAGAATTTGGTGATGCTCAGAAATAAATATATATGACAGCTGGATGTCCACCAATAATCAAAATTAGAGGTGGGGCCAGCACTATGGCATAATGGGTAAAGCCACTGCCTGTAGTGCCAGCTTCTCATATGGGCAATGGTTTGTGACCCAGCTGCTCCACTTCTGATCCAGCTCTCCGCTATGGCCTGGGAAAGCAGTGGAAGATGGACCAAGTGCTTGGGCCCCTGCACCCACATGGGAGACCTGGAAGAGGCTCCTGGCACTTGGCTTCAGATGGGCCCAGCTCCAGCCATTGCAGCCATTTGGGCAGTGAACCAGTGGGTGGAAGACCTCTCTTTCTCTGTCTCTCTCTCTTTCCCTCTGTCTGTGTCTGTCTCTCTCCCTCTGCCTCTGCCTCTCCATAACTCTGCCTTTCAAATAAAAATAAATAAATCTTTAAAAAATATATTAGAGGTTTAGGGACCAGCATTATGGTGCAGTGGGTAAAGCTGTCACTTGCCATGCTGGCATCCCATATGGGCACTGATCCCTGTCCTTGATGCTCCACTTCTTGGCCAAGTATTCGGGTCTCTGCCACTTATGTGGGGGACCTGGATAATGCTCCTTGCTCTTGGCTGCAGCCTGGCCCAGCACTGGCTGTTTTGGCCCTCTGGGGAGTGAACCAACAGAGGGAGGATCTCTCTCTGTGTCTCCCCCCCAATAACTATGATTTTTAATTAAATAAATAAAAATCTTAAAAAATATTAGAGATTTATTATTCAAAGATGTAGAGATATATGGTTTTAGTCAGTTGAAATCCAGAGATTCTGTAAGATTGGCATGCCTAGTTGCAAAGTTACTTATAGTTAACTCTGAAGACTCATTTCTCTTGCTAACCTCATCTTAGACTTTATTTTATTGTATTGCTGTGCATCTGCTGCTATCTTCACTACAAAACTGTAAGCTACTTGAGGATAGAATTTATTGTAAAATTTTTGTTTATAATTTTTGTTTATTTGAGAAGGAGAAAGAGAGAGAGAGAGAGAGAGAGAGAGAGAGAGAGAGAGAAAGATATCAAGTGTTTTCCCATCCTCTGATTCTCTCATCAAATGCCCACAACAAGTGGGGCTCATCCAGATTGAAGTCAAGAGAAAGAAACTCAATCCAGGTCTCCCACAGGGATAGCAGAAATCTAATTATTTGAGCCATCACTACTGACTCTCTGGGTCTACATTAATAGGAACTTTGGTTAGCCTCAATATACTGCAAGGGCAAAAACTTCTAAACTTTTATTCAACTTTGTATCTACCCTTTACAATTTGCACGTTCCAAGCACACCATGGTACTGCATAAATGGTTTGGAATGTGTAAATGAACAAGTCTGAGTGGTGGCATCTTGGACAGCCACCATCATTTCAACATTGGGTCATCTCATTCCCCTTTTAATGCTTTCTAGAAAAGGATTTAAATGTGGGTACTTTTGTAGTCTATCTACAAATTTAAATTGGAATGTGCTGTTGAAGCATTCACACAAAAGTAGGAAAGTCTAGGCCATCTGTTTAGTCCTCTACTTGTCCTAGGATGGAGCCCACCAAAGATTTTAAAAGTCATATGTATATTTATTTCATGGAGGAAACTTTATCAACCATTGAAAAGTTTACTGGCACTTACTGGTGATATAATGGGTAGTTTAAATCCTGCTAACTGCAAATAATTTTTCAACAGTGTTTATGATTGTGGTAGAGTTTAGTGAGGCTGAATTGCAGATAACATAAATATTTTGACAAAAGCTGGTGGTTCTTGAGCCATAAATAAATTAGACCCAGTTTGTAAATAAATTTAGTCTTTGCCAGCAAACATTTATAATCCTCTCTTGCTGCAAATGATAGTTATTTATATGGAAGAGGTTCTGAATGCCTTTTTTTTAAAGTCCATTCTCATTAGGAGGCAGTGCCTGGTGCCCGTCAAGTGCCTTCGACTGAGTGACTCAATTAGACATGAAGGATACTGTACAGACCACCTAATGCTACTAGTTATTGTACATGTTGATAATGACAATTTCCAGAGACCATACATAGTTTGGTAGTCTATGAAGTTGTCATATTATATCATTCCCTTAAATACCTAGCTTGTGTTACCACTTAGCAATGTTGAAATTACCCCCTCTCAAATCATAAGTGCTATTTGGTGTATGTATACATATATGCATAGCACATCTGTTCATATTTTTCTACAAACATTTTTCATCAAAGTGTATAATGTTTGCTCAAATTAAAAAAATCTTCCTTATGTTTTTCAATGAAATTCTCTATCACCATGGTTTTGAATGATTTTACATTTGGTATGTGTGGTATTGGGAAACTTAATATGGGGGCTGTTGGAGCTTAGAATGGGGGCAGAAAATTGCACTCGTTGGCTACATTTAAACTTATTTTACGCTGAAGATATTCTATTTGCAATAGGGCAGAGTTGGGCTGAAATTAGCCAAATCAAGAACTCTTCCCACGGAGTCACTTTAAAATCAGAAGTCATTGTTGACTTTTAGTTACCAAACCTTGTGAGAATAAGAACCGTTGCTCCTTTTTAAATAAAAACTAAACTTGATACTCTATCCAAATTTCATTCTTTGGGGCACTCTCTGCTTCTTATCAAGCCAAGAGTGTGGTTAGGTTAGTGTTCTATTGCTTGTTCACATTCCTTTTTATTGGCAAGCCATTGCTACAACTCCCTCTTCTGCCAGACATGCATAATTATTTTCTTTTCTTTATGTAGGTCTCCTGGCTATAAGAAAGCTCTTCTGTTTTGTAGCAGTAGGGAAGGGTCTGCATCGAGGCAGCTGTGAGAATGAATCTGAACTTGGATTTACACTGTTTATTCAATTCTTCTGCATACCTATCTTTGTTTACCATATGGTTGAAAGGAGATCTCAATCTCATTTACTTTTTGATCTTCATCTTTGGGGGGCTGTTTTGAATATTTTCACCCAGTATGTATTAGAACTCAGTCTTCCTGCCAGAAAATGCACTTTTCTCCTCTCTTTCCCTTAGCCTGTAGCTCCTGAGTTTTGGTCTCTCCTTTGGAGGCAAGAGGGATCTCTGCCAAAAGCCACCGAGCCACACTTAGGTAATTATAATAAACAAGTTGGGGCTCTCATTTCACATGCAGAGCCGAAGGAAGCAGAGCTGTGGCCAAAAGGATCCCAGCTGCTCCTCCATCAGCAATGGCACATTAATGCTCCCTCATGTCTCTGCCCACCTTTAAACACTTTTTTTTTTTTAAAGAAAAGGAAGCAAATCAGGTCACTCTTTAGCAAGTGAAGGGGTGTAGCTTTCTTCTGAAACCACCATCAACAGCATAAACAAATTAGAGGTAGTAAACCACACATTCTGCCCACACATAAACCACAGTCCTCACCAGAGGGCAGTCTACTTAATGTGAGAATAACAGCCCAGTTTTATAAGCCTCTACTGGGAATAAATTCCAGTTCCACTGGTTAGAGCAAGGTTAGGCAGCCAGAGTACAGTCTCTGCTAGGTTACATGTTGGAAGAGATCAAACCAATTATTCTCAAAGTATCTTTCCAGGAAATAGATTTTATAAGCTTCTGGTACATCAAACTTGGACCATCTTTGGTTTCCATTGTGTAGAAGTGGGGTTGATTGAGCAGATTGCACCTGGGGATGAACTTGTCCAAC